TTATGGAGCACTCTCCACGATCTAAAACAGGAACCAGGACAATCTATCAACGACTTCCTTGCCCAAGTGCAACCCCTTTGGCATCGGTTGGATCAAGCAGAGATCAGTCCTGATCATCTTCGCCTCATTCAGGTCTTAATGGCTTTGCGTCCAGAGTATGAGGCAGTTCGTGCCTCTTTGTTACATCGGCATCCACTTCCTACCTTGGATGCAGCTATTCAGGAGATTCTGTTTGAGGAAACTCGTCTCCACCTAGCTAAGGCTCCTCAGCTTGACTCTGCTCTTGCGGTCACTGCCCGAACTCCTACTCAGAGTCGTTCTCATCGTTGCAAAAGATGTCAGTCCTCTGATCATGACTTCGGTCATTGCCCAAAGGTGGAGTGTCACTACTGTCATGTTTTAGGCCATACTATACAGTATTGCCCCACTAGACCACCTCGCTCTGGAAGTAGTAACTACAAGCCTCGGAATTCTCGTGGACCTCAGTTTGGTACCTCCTCTGTCACAGCCTCTGCTGCGCCTGCGCCTGCGCCTCCTACGATTCAGGACCTGGAAGCTCTTCTTAAACAGGTTCTATCTTCCAATACCGCCATGTCTACCACATCAGGTAACTCTCCTTGGTATTTTGATTCTGCTTGCAGTAATCATATGACCTCTGATATACGCCTTATGACCTCCACATCCACCGCACCATCCTTACCCCCTATCCTTACTGCCGATGGTACCCATATGCGCATTACCCATACCGGACATACATCCACCTCATCCTTATCCCTCCCTGACACATATTGTATCCCTCAATTAACCTTAAATCTGATTTCCGTTGGTCAATTAGTTGATCAAGGTCTCACCGTGTTATTTTCTTCTACTGGTGTGCAGGTTCAGGACGCGCAAACCGGGCGGACTCTTGGGAAGGGCCGGAAGACGGGCCGCTTATTTGAACTTACGTCACTCCAGGTCCCTCGTCCCTCTATCTCAGCTGCCACCACCTCTACACCATCCTGCCTTCAGTGGCATCGTCGTCTCAGTCATGCGTCTTCCAATAAAGTCAGGTCCTTGATTAGTCAGGGTAGTTTGGGTTCTGTTAAGTTTGAGTCTTTTAATTGTGTAGATTGTTCGTTGGGAAAACAACCTGCTCTGTCGTTTCCTCATAGTACTTCCATTGCGGATACTCCATTCTCTTTAGTTCACTCGGATATTTGGGGACCTTCGCCCACTGTGTCTATGAATGGTTCTCGTTATTTTGTGATTTTTATTGATGACTATTCTCGTTTTACATGGATTTACTTTCTGCGGCATCGCTCTGAACTTCCATCTATTTATATGACCTTTGCTAAAATAATACATACCCAATTTTCCTCTACTATAAAAACTCTCCGCACAGATAATGCTCTTGAGTATACTGATACATCATTTCTTAGTTTCTTATCTGATCAAGGTACTGTTGTCCAACGCTCCTGCCCATACACCTCTCCACAAAATGGTCGCGCCGAACGCAAACACCGTCATATCCTTGATACAGTCCGCACCCTTCTCTTATCAGCCTCTTGTCCAGATCGCTTTTGGGGAGAAGCCGCACTCACCGCTGTCCACACTATAAATCGTGTCCCTTCCTCTGTCCTAGGTAATGTCAGTCCTTTTGAAAGACTATTTAATCGTACCCCTGATTATAGTCTTCTCCGCCCTTTCGGTTGTGTCAGTTTTGTCCTCCTCCCTCCTCATGAGCGCACTAAGTTAGAACCTCGCGCTCGTCTGTGTTGCTTCCTGGGCTATGGGTTAGAACATAAGGGTTATCGTTGTTGGGATCCTATTTCCAATAGGCTACGTATTTCTCGTCATGTCACATTTTGGGAGGATACCAAATTCTCTTCCTTGTCTCACTTCCGAGTCCCCTTTGATCGTTCGTCTCCGTTCTTTACCTTGTCCTCTCCACCCCTATTCCCTTCCAGTGACACGGCTCCGTCTCCATCTCCCGCTCCTAACGCTGTCTCGGTTGCGCCTCCTGAACCGCAGCTGATCCCCGAGCCTACTCTTGCTCTCGACTCCGATACATCACCACCACTAGAGCCTGACACGACTTCGATCTCAGCCCCTGATCCTGGCCCTCGTCGCTCCACTCGGGTTAGTCACCTTCCTACTCACTTACTTGATTATCACTGCTTCTCTGCCACCTTGTCCCATCATGAGCCCAGGACCTTTCGTGAGGCGTATGCGGATCCGTTGTGGCGGCAGGCTATGTCTGAGGAGTTGCAGGCTTTGGAGAAAACACATACGTGGGATATGGTTGATCTTCCCCCTGGCAAGAAACCTATTGGCTGCAAGTGGGTATTCAGAATCAAAACTAACTCTGATGGATCTATCGAGCGCTACAAGGCACGTTTGGTAGCCAAAGGCTACACCCAGCAGTATGGTATCGACTATGAGGAGACATTTGCCCCGGTTGCTCGTCTCACCTCTGTCCGCTGTCTTATCGCCATCGCTGCCGCTCGTCGGTGGCCCCTACATCAGCTTGATGTCAAGAATGCGTTCTTGCATGGTGATTTATCCGAGGATATCTACATGTCTCCTCCTCCTGGTTTTCCTACCTCTTCCAAGGTATGCAAACTTCGCCGTGCCCTATATGGTTTGAAACAGGCACCTCGAGCTTGGTTTTCGAAATTTAGCTCTGCTCTACTCCAGCTTGGCTTTACTTCTAGTGATCATGATTCGGCTCTCTTCCTTCGACGTGGGTCAGCTGGAATTACTATTTTATTGCTTTATGTGGATGACATGATTATTACGGGAGATGATGCTTCAGGTATCTCCGAGTTGCAAGCTCATCTAAACCGCCACTTCGAGATGAAGAGTTTAGGGCCTCTTCGGTACTTCCTAGGACTTGAGATCTCCGACACCTCCGACGGATATTATCTCTCTCAAGCCAAGTATGCCTCCGACCTCCTATCTATTGCCGGTCTCACTGACTCCAAGACTGCTCCTACACCTCTTGATTCTGACTGTCGTCTTACTCCGATGGACGGCGTTCCCCTTGATGATCCGACTTTGTATCGTCAGCTAGTGGGAAGTCTCATCTACCTGACTGTCACTCGACCGGATATTGCTTATGCCGTCCATATCGTCAGTCAGTTTATGTCTGCTCCTCGGACGACTCATCATTCTGTTGTCCTACGGATTCTCCGGTACGTCAAAGGTACCCTGCTTCATGGACTTCATTATTCCGCTCGATCCTCCTTAGTTTTGACCGGGTATTCTGACGCTGATTGGGCGGGAGATCCCTCTGATCGCCGCTCGACCACCGGATTTTGCTTCTTCCTTGGCGACTCGCTTATTTCATGGCGCAGCAAGAAACAGACGGTTGTCTCCCGGTCCAGTGCAGAGTCTGAATATAGAGCCCTTGCCGATACCGCTGCTGAGCTTCTATGGCTTCGCTGGCTTTTGGCTGATCTTGGAGTGCCTCAGCCCTCTGCCACTATTATCCATTGCGACAGTCAGAGCGCCATGAAGATTTCGACAAATGATGTCTTCCACGAGCGTACGAAGCATATTGAGATCGACTGTCACCTTGTACGTCATCACGTTGCTCATGGAAGCATCTCCTTGTCTCCTATTTCCTCTGCTGATCAGACGGCCGACGGATTCACCAAACCTCACCTTCCCGGCCGTTTTCAGTCATTTTTGAACAAACTCAAGTTGGGCTCCACCGTTCCACCTTGAGTTTGAGGGGGGATGTTGATATATATATAGTATATATATATTTTATATATTGATATATATATTCTACCTAATATATCTCTTGTATAAATATAATATTGTACCCTAATTGTGTTTAATGAAAATAGAGTTTATTCCATAAATCGTAACAGTCTTTAAATTTACTTTTTCCGTTACTAATGATATTAGAGACGGAATTAATGATGGAATTACATTATCTACGTGATCTTTAGGGACGGAATTCCGTTACAAATATACTATTTTTTTAGTGATCGAACGCGTATCATCTCCATTCTTAATTAACGGCTTTTTTTTGTTGGATATATAAATACTATGTTTGATTCTTCAAAGACACTATATCTATTTGGATCCTCTATTTGGTTCATTTGTCTGGTTCTTCTTATATATATGTATTCAAGCAAAGCTATTAAGGGGGTTTTCATTTGTGAAGACCTTTTTTTTTTAATTTATGAAGTGGGAATTCGCAGTTGAAAAACTTCTGTATAAAAGGCTTGATTGAAAAGACGTGATGAAATTTGAAACCAATTTGTCCGCTACACCAACTCGACCACTTCTTACTGAGTCACAAGCAAGTATTCTTTGAATTCATTTATATGTGCAATATATCCAATAGCAATCTGGTTTAGATATATCCAGTATATTGTATATATAAGGGCATCTCCAACCCAGCGCCATTAATAATTTGGCGTTGGTTGTCTTCAACTAGCCTCAAATTCAGCGCCAGTAATGGCGTTGCTTCCTTTTCTTTTCTTTTTTCTATTTTTAAAATTTTAATTTTTAATTTTTAAATATTATTTTTTTATTTTTCTAAATTAAAAAAAAATTATTTTAATTATAAAAATAAAAAATTGTTTAAAATAATATAAAAAATTGAATACTTGAAGAATAATAGTGAAAAATAAAGTTATAGTCAAAGTAAAATTACTGTAGCAACTGCGTATTTAGAATTAAAATAGCATAAGTAGAGTTGATGGGTCGGAGATGGCTTAAATGTGTATATATATATATATTGTAGATATTTGAAAAAAATAAAATCATATGTAAGGGGTCCAATTACAGGACTAAAAAAAACAGTTTACCCATTAAAAAAATGATTCGATCGATTTTGAAATATTTTATTTTATTTTTATGTTTTAGTTAATGGTAATAAGTATTTATGTATAAGATATAAAAATCATTTCAGATACTGAAATTCTCGAACAACAACAAAAAAAGACTTGGTCGTGCGTGACCCCAGTCTGTACGTTCCGATCACAAAAGTGGTTAAAATTATGAATAGTATCCTCCCGCCCCACAGCAAAATTGCCTACAACGCAAAAGAGGCTATACAAGAATGCATCTCTGAACTGATTAGCTACATGACTGTAGAAGCTAATGCAAAATGTCATCAAGATTGCCGAAGAATAATAACTGCGGAAGATGTGAGTGATGGCTTATCATCGCTGAACTTTACCAACTACATTGGCCCCCTGTCACTCTATCTCGACAGGTACCGCTCTTCTACTAGCTGTAGTTCGAGCCAATTCCCTTATACGGCGCCACTTCCACTGCCAATTAATTTCTCGGCCGGACCTCTCCAAATTCCGGGAACTGATGAATATGATAGAGGCGAAGAGGATGTAGAAGAAAAGCAAGGTTAAATGGATGGACGGTTTATTAAGAATTAAGAACACTCAAATATATTTATGTTCCTTTTTATTTGAATGTTCTATAAATTATATAGATGAGCTCCAAAGGATACTTTGCACGCCACAACTCACCGGGAAATGAAGATCTGTGGTTTTTTCCAATGGCACAATACAAAATTTAAGTGACCAATGCAAAATTGCCAAATATACGACACATTATTGAAAGTAATACTGAGACACTTATAGTCACCTTTAGAGATATTTACGGAGAACACGCGATTCTTTGATAAAGAAGATTTAATAACAAATATACTTTTTTGTCATAAAAAATTGAAAGATGATTAAGACTCCAAACATTAAAGTGACAATATGAACTTCTTAAGATGGAGCCTTCAGAAACAGTTGAGGCTTATATTGGTCAAGTTTTGTCCACGATGAAAAGGAGCATAATGAAGTTCATTGAGAGACGGACAAGGTCGAAAAAATTCTATGAACCTTATCCTCTATATACGAATATGTTGTAGCAGCAATCGAAGGAGGAAATAACACCTTACAAATGACTGTAAAACAACTATCAAGTTATTTTCGACCCCACGAGCAACGAATGAATGAGAACAAGGTTGTTGTACTTATTGAGCAAGCCCTTTGCATAAATAAATAAAAAGTACTTCCTCTGTCTCGGTCTAAATGGGCGTTTTGGGATTTTGTAATAGATGAAAAAATATTAATATTTTATTAGTTAGTGGAAGTATTTAAAAACTAATTGTATGTATAATGGTATATTTGTAATTCAGGTAAAAGTTAATAGTATTTTGGCATTGATGCATAATTATTTTTTACTAAAATAAAAAAATATATATATTTTGAGTTGGGACGGAGGGAATAGATTGAAGGAAGATAAATGATTATTTTTAATTATTCCAAACTTCATTCTCAACTCATAAAACACAATCATAAATCTATATCTATTACCTCGGTCGAACCTAATACACTGCAAACCAGTCACACTAGGCGAACCATGTATGGCAGGTTAAGGCGTCGGAGGTTGAACTCATAACCACCATGAAGTTATGGGTTCAAATCCCTACACCACCAAGTCCAACCCCTAAACCACCAGGAGATTATTTGTTCTATAAAAATTATGAACTTAAGCAATGAGAAATATCTTATGAATAATAATTGTGGGCGTAAGCGAATACAACGTACAGTACATTCACGGAAAAATAAAATAAAAAAATAAAAATATCTGGCTGAAATCTGTTGAAGATATTATCAACTTCGTCTGACGTGGCGCCTAACCACTGATGCTGACACGTGTAAAAGCGCTTCCAAGTGGAGCCTCCCTTCCTCTTTTACTCTTTCTCTCTCTCTCTCTCTCCATTTTTATCGCCGAGGGTTTCCTTTCCATTTCTGTGATATTTTCTTTCAGTTTGTCCGCTTCCATCTACATATAATCAGCATTTGGATTGGATTGGATTCGCTTTGCACCCAACGGAATTGCTCTCCGATGTCTCCGCCTCGCCGTCAGCGGCCGCCGGCAGCACCGGCCTGCAGCGACGAGTTGACTCTGTCTAATTCGGATTCGTCGGTTTTGACCGTACTGAATTGCCAAGATATTTCGCACCGATCTGCCATTGAATTGCCGGTAACTTTTATTCTTCTGTTCTTCGTTGGAGCCTCTCCGATTCCTTAGGAGTGTTTTTTTTTTTTTTGCTAATTTTAAATACTCTTTAGTGTGTGATGCAGTAGTTGTGTGTAATTAAATTGCGTGTGATACTGATGCGTTGTTCGGTCCTTTGGATACAAAGTTCATTTAGGTAAGTGCTAATTTAGCTCATTACTTGAACATCGCTGCTCTTTTTGGATCCTTATGTTTGAAGGATTAACTTAGGATTTGAGATCCACATTGAGATCAAGTGGACACTGTTGTTTGCTCTGGTCAAATTTCAAGTATTTGAAATCAACTGTTCTTAGATTCCGCTGTGTGTGGCTTTAGAGGGAGTTAAATTTCTTTCTGATTATTCTTACTTCCGGTAGAGAATTAATGTATTGACGTGGATGTCAAACACCATTGGTAGACCTTTTGAAACCTCTCTCGATATGGAAGCTACTTTATCCAGGAGTCTTCAAGGAGTAAGTTACTGGTAATGATAAGATGAACCTAGAGAATCTAACATTACTAGGTGGAGATGCAGAGATTTTATTGGATTTGAGGTGAAGTTGTATCGCTTCTCGAAAATCTTAAATAAGACATGGCAGAAATCAATACTTATAAAGAGGTGGGAATTTGCATTGTTTTCTTCGTTTGAGAAGGTTGCACTATATATTGTGGTTCATCATTTGTCAACGCTTATTATTCTAATTTTTAAACAGATCGTATTAATGAGCTGTGGAATTGCTGGGCAATTATATACCTCTTTACTGTATGCAAATAGATTTAAAAGCAGCAATATTTACTGTATCAGTTATCCTGTCTTAGATGACCTCTAAAAGTGAATTCAAGAAAAAAAAAATTGATGGTGATATGAGGTTATTGGTAAGTTTATTTCAGTGAATCCATAAGGCTAAAAAGATTATTCTAAGGTTCCTTCTTCCTGTAGGGTGACTGCACAGCATGGACAGATGAGAAGCACAGTTTGTATATTCATCAGCTGGAAATGTCGTTTATTAAGCAGTTGAACCACTCAAAGTATTTGCTTCAACACTTCTCGTATATGAGTTGGAGAGATCTAAATATTGCTGAACAACACATCAATACTAGCCATTCTTCTGAGCAGGTCAAGAAATGCATTTGAAGCCCTTTTATTGTGTGATTTGTAAAATCTTTATTTCAATTACATGCTTCAGAAAGTAGAAATTTATACCTATTTCCTTTGCCTTTACCAGTTTCAAATTGCTAGGAATGTAAACTCGCAAAAGAGGGGTCGGGTGTGCAAATACCAGCATAATGGCAAGCAGTTTGCTCCATTATCTGGTCAAAAGCTTGGTGATAGTGTGAAACTTGGAATAAGGAGGAGATATTCCCATGGGTTAGCATCATTGACGCAAAAGTGTTCTTCTAGAAAACCAGCCCATCAGGATTTATTTCACTTAACACGAGGTGACTTAACTCCTCCTTGTAGATCACATGGTTGCTCATCTAGTTTTCACTGTTTCCGATATGATATTTTCTTGTGCGTATGCTTTTATTTGATGGTTTTGGATTCATTGACAAATTTGATACTACACCAAGGATAGCAAAGTTCGTAGTTGAATGCATGTTAATGCGAGGCGTTATCTGCCTTTTCATTATTCCACTTGAGCATGCAAAGATAAAACTCATCCATCTCATGCTTCAGTTTTTATGTGTAACCACCCAACATGTCTTCAAGTTTCATCCTTGTCATTTTTTGCCGTTTGACTTTCATGACAGCATGTGGTTCAGAACAGATAAACCTTCGCCAACTTTCATGTCCTGAAAGGTCTCTTCTTTTCTTACTTTAGTATTTTCCATCAATATTTATGAGAAGTTAGTGTGGTCAGCAATTTTTGTCTCAATGCTATTTAGGCCTTGAAGCTGTTTGATTGTAATCGCTGTCTGTCTTGAAAGAATTACGAGTTAATCTATGCAGTTGACTGAAGAAACTTATGTTTGCATTACCATATCATCTTGATAATTCGATTATGCTTTTCTTGACATGTTTACGTAAGTTGATGCCGCTTTTTGACATTTATATACCTGACAAGGTGAATAAAATAGGATATGGAACTTGATAGTTGAAAGTGATGAAAGAATGTGCTGTTTTATTGATTCCGTGAATACGCATTATTAGGATATAAAAATAGGCTGATGCTTGTTATTGTAAAAGATTGATTAATCTTATGTGATAAAAATTAGTCAATATACACAATTTTGAAACTTTTTATACTATTTATCAACATTAATATTTCTAAAAAAAACATCATAGCAAATATCTGTTATTTTTCACGAAATATGACACCAAATACTCAACTTTTTATTATTTCAAAAAGTCGAAAAGCCTCTATGTAATGGATAATCTGCATTTCATACTATTGAGCTTCTCCGATAGTAAGAAAATAATAAGGATTAGGGTTTGACACGCAGGAACATTTTGCTTGTGCCTACTTTTGGGGTGGCTTATAATATTTGACATTAATAAATGAACGTAAAATCCGAAGACCCCATGTCTTTCTTATTCCCGAATGAGATCAATTTGTGCCACTTTTTTGCATATGCTAAATATTTGCATTGTTTGCGGAAGTGCAATTATTGCATAGTCCTTTTTTTTGTTGTATTATAAAAAGTAATCCATATTTCTTCATTTTCTGCAGAGGGGATGGGTCAAAATTTTTCAGATGAAGACAACAGCCAAAGTGAGCCAGATTCCGACCCCTCGACAAAAAGGCTGAAGCCGGCTTTAGCTTTGGTCGACACTTCATCTCAGAATCAAGTAATTTCCCGAGCTATTTTTTCTTAAATCAATTCTTTTTATGTACATGCTTACGCTTCTTGATTCAGTTATCTGTTATTTCAGATCATGCCCTCCAGAAAATGTCTCAGCAGAAGAATATTCAATCATCAACAGCCCAATCCCGGGTCATTGATGCATCAAAAATCTATCTCGAATAAAACTGAGAGGTCTGTCTATCCCTTATCCTGAAATCCTACTTCAACACAGGAACTATCTCGGATTTTTCACTCTCTGTCACTAAAGCACGAGCAGAAAGCCCAATCCAGGTGATTTTTTTGGTGCAAAAGATCTTATGCTAGCACAAGGTAAATTGTTACATCTACTGTTGAGATATAGATATAGATGTAAGATATATATATATATATATATGCATATCTATGTGTGTGTGTTTAGCGTCGCGGACAAGAGGCTAGTGATTTACGCATATGAGCGTGTATATATATATCGGTTTCTTTGCACGGTGAAGTTTGGAGTTTGGGATTTTTTGATTGCCTAGTTAAAAATGTATATACAATTTTTTGGTGTAGTTTTGTTTTGAGATGAAACGACCAATGTTTTGGTGTAGTTAAAAATGTATTACGAGAGATATATTCAACAATGATCTACATGTTATCCTATCAAACACGAGCTACTTGGTTTAGAAGAAAATAATTGTTCGTAAATGTAACATCAAATGGGCTTATGAGATTTAGAAAGGCAGCCTTGTCTCAAGTTTGAAATTCAGCTGATGGCTATTTTACATTTTTTTTTTTTTTGGAATAAGAAATAATAGACGAGTATAATATGATCTTGGTATTGTTGTTCTTGTAATACAAAGCAAATTTACTTTTTTTATTTTTGCAAGAATTAGAGGAATTTTAGTATTTGTATATAAATTATTTTTACTGTAATAAAAAATTAATATTTTATAGTAGGTGGACCGAAATGAAAAAATATATATATATATTGAATTGAGATTGATAGAGTATTAATTGGTATTCTCTTGGTTCATTTTAAAAGTATATAAAAAATATATATATAATACTCTCTCTGTCCACGTAGAAAGTAAATATTTATTTTTTACGCTGTATTTAAGAAATAATAGTATTTTAATTATAATGCGCAGTTAAAAATAGTGTAATAATATTTTTGTCCTTTCTTTTTGGTGTAAAAGTAATTATGTGAGGTAAAACAAGGGTATTTGTAGAATAAAAGTGAGGTATTTAATCAAATATTTATTTTGTAATTTGACATCCCAAAATAGAAATATGTATATTTTTTTTAGCTGGACAGAGGGAGTAGTATTTTAATTGTAATAGACCGATAAAAGTAGTATAAAAATAATTTATTTTTATTATATTTATAAGAAAATAATGAGATTTGTTGTTACTTAAAAAAATAATTATCTTGTAATTGAATAATTTAAAATTAAATTATACAATATATACTTTTTTTTTGTAACATGAAACTCATAGTGGCTATCTGAATACGCACACGGGCTAAATTCTCCGCCTAAGCTAACATATACCAATTTCTAAGTAGACTTTGGAGCATTGATTAGTTTGTTCATACTCCTGTCTACATACAAAGTATACATTTATTATTAGCGTCGTATTTAAGAAATAATAGTATTTTAATTATAATAGATAGTTAAAAAGTAGTGTAATGATATTTTTGTCCTTGCTTTCTGATGTAAAAGTAATGATGTGATGTAAAATAAAAGTATTTATGGAAATAAGTGAGGTATTTAATGAAATATTTACTTTGTAATTGGACGTTTCAAAATAAAAATATGTATATTTTCTAACTGAACGGAGCGAGTATTTTATTATAGAGAAGACTTCAGCATTGGAAATGTTGAATAACGTGTATGCGAGGACAATTTCATAGGTGTATATATTTTTGAATAACTTAGTATAGTTTTTTATGTTTTTTTTTTTTTTTTTAATATGAATAAAAATCATTATTTAGAATTGTTTAAATGTTAAGATAACTTATTTTTTTAAGTGATTGTATAATACAAAAAAAAATATATGTATATATATATATATTAGGTAGGTCTGGTGGGGTATGCTTTTTTAGTGTTTTTTAATTTTAATTTTTATATAAAATAATTATTAAATATGATATTTATTTTTTTATTATTAAATAACAGCTGATACGTGCTTTTTTTTTTCATAATGAGACATACTTTTTATATTAATTTGTGTAAAACAGTTCGATATATTTTTATTTTTAATAAAAGTTCAATATTAAATATATTTTATAAATATAATTTAATTTAATTAAAAAATTTTAATATTTTAAAATTTTTATTTTTTTTCTTTAAATTTTTAAGTAAAATTATTCAATATTTTTTTATTTTTATTTCTTTTAATTTAATTAAAAAAAAAGTAATCATATAATATTATATTCTTATTTCAAGAATACTAGTAATAATAACATTAAATAAAAAAAATATCATAACATATTTTTATAACTTAATAATAGAAACACTTAATTTTATTCAATTTATTCACATAATATTTTTCAATGAAATATTTTTATATAAATATTATTAAAAAAATACAAATATACATATATTAACATAATACTACATGTACTATTATTTACTCATAAAAAAAATTAATTATTCAATATAAAATATTATTTTTATATTATCAACCCAGTTTTATACTTTACACAAAAAATTAATTTATCTAAAAATGTTGAGTGAACAGATTTATTATTTCCTTCTAATTTGAATATATTTGTACTATTCGAGATTTTTATAATAGATTAAAAAATAATAATATTTTATTTATCAACGGAAGCATACTGTGTAACTATACATAATCGTATATGTAATAATATATTTGTAATTTATCAAAATTTAGAGTATTTTGATATTAATATAAATTATTTTTACTTAAATAAAAAATACTTTTAAATTGAATAAATAAAAATAATAATAATAAAATATTTTGAATTAAAACGAACAAATATTTCATCTGTCCCCCGTAATTTCTATTATTTTTTTTTATTCTTATGTGTCTGTATTATTTTTTTTTTAAAATATAATTATACGCTTTAATCATATTTTAAAATTTAAAATTTAAAATTTTTTATTTTAATTAAATTATTTATTCATAATTATTTTTATTAATATATTTTTTAATTATTTATTAATTATCTAAACATTAAAAGTGCATGATTAAGCTAAATTAAAAATCTGAATATGACAATTTAGTTTATTATTGACCAGAATTTGTCGACAGAAAAACAGGTGGATTATCTAGTTTAAAGTTTATTATTTTTAAAATAATAAAAGGTATACAAATTGACCGACTAACCCGTAATACTAAGCTGTAAGGAATCGAATCAGCGGGCTGGAGGAGGGTATTTTCGTAAAACCACATCAACTATCGAAAATGACCTTTAGCAACGTCCAAGAGTTGCCTCCTCCCACCACTCAAAAACGCCTTTAAATACCCATCCCCGCCGCCTCCAAATTTCCCACCACCGCCTCCGCCGCCGCCGCCGGAAAAATAAATCATCTCAAATTTCTTCAACTCTCCCGACCATGTCATCACTCTCAGCAAAACTAATAGCTCCATCCTTCCCAAACCCCAATCATAGACTCAGCACCCCCAAACTCCAGGCCACGCCGCCGCAGACGGCGGCGCCGGCGCCGGAAAAAACCGATTCGGCGAGGCTGGATCCCCGGACGGAAGAGAAGGACGGATATTTCGTGGTGAAGGAGAAATTCCGACAGGGGATAAACCCTACGGAGAAAATCAAAATCGAGAAGGAACCTATGAAATTATTCATGGAAAAGGGGATCGAGGAGCTGTCGAGAATACCTCTGGAAGAGATGGAGAAGTCGAAGGTGAGTAAGGACGACGTCGATGTCCGGCTCAAATGGCTGGGACTGTTCCACCGGCGGAAGCATCACTGTAAGTTTGGTTAATTTATTCGATCTGATTCTGATCTGATCTGATGATTGATGATGAACAGTGTTTGATTGTTGCATAAAATGCTTTTAACTGGATTGAATCGTGTGTTTTGGAATCGGATCGTCAATTACTACTCTGTTAAAATTTTATTTTTTTTTTTGTGTCTTGTATAATAATAAATATTTTTTTATTTCATTTAATTTTTTATTTTTAAATATTATTATTATATAAATTAAAAAAATTAAAAAATATTTTTATTAATGTCTTATAATAACAATAATAATAATAAAAGAATATTTGTATAAAAAATATTGATCTATAGTACAAATTAAGACGTAAAAGCTAAATATAATCTTAGAAGTGGATGGATAAAGTACTTAACTAATATAAATTAATTTAATTAATATTATAAATAATATATAATTTATTAAAAAATTTTATTTTTATTTTTCTTTTAAAAATGTTAAATATTTTTATTTATATTTAAAATTTTATCTTTTTAATGATATTAATTTAAGTCGATTATAAATAAATAAAAATATTTTTTTAATATTTAAATACATATTTAATTTTTTAATCATATATATTAAATTTTATTTAAAATTATTAACATTAATTATAAAAATAATAATAAAATAATATTATAATTTATTATTATTAATTAATTAATTATTATTTTTTTAAATACGATTTCGTTAATGAAAGTGTTCAATTATGTTGGGATAGACAGTGTATTTTGTTTGGAAATTGAGTTTGATTTTGATTTAATTCAATTTTTTTTATTTAAATAATATTTTTTTGTGATATTTTGACTTTGTTATTGAATAATATTTTTAGATTGCGATTTTAAAAAATAATAATAATAATATAAAATAGTTTAAACAAAAGTAAAAAAATCAAACAAAAATTTTAAATATTCATTACAAAAAGTCAATTATTCAATTTAAATAATATTGTACTGTATTTTATATTTTTGACATAATTTATTTTATTACGACACAAAAAATTATTTCATCTAAAATTATTAGATGAATGGAGTCTTTGTACTCTTTTCTTCCGACCACTATTAACATCATTTTCGTTTTGTCTTTCTTATAATAATGGATATTTTATATTTTGAATAAAATTTACTAAATTAAAATATATTTAATAAACATAAATTAACTTAATTAATTGCATAATACAGTAATATTATGCATCTATCCACTTAAAATTCTTTTATTTATCTTTTTTTTCACAAAAAAAAAAATATATGTACATTTAAAATTTCACCTATTTTATAAAAATTAATTTATATTAATTATAATAAATACTAATATTTTTTATTTACTTATATTATAGAAAATTTTATTTCTACAAAATGATATTCCTTCCGTCTGCCTCTAAAGGTCACATTTAGATTTTGCGTTATTGTATTAACGTTAAAAATATGCTTATATTTGTATAATTTTTTGTACAAATATCCTTCTATAAGTATTATAAATCACTAATGAAAATATTTTTGTAATATTTTTTTAATTTATACTATATTTTGATATAATAATTAATATTTAAATATAAATATACAAAAAATAAATGAGACTCTTAGAGCCGGACGGAGATAATATTAATTTTTATTGCAATATAATTTTAAAATATTTAAAAATATATTTTATCTTTTCAATTATATATATTAAATTTATTTTAAAACTATAACATATATAATTTTAAATAAAAAATATACATATAGTAGTGTTTGGTTGTGTTTTAATAGGCATTTAATCTAATATTTTGAATCTTTTGTATACGTATATTTTAGAGAAACAAAATAAATAAATCATCGCACATACCATTGTGTATTGAATCTCATTTGACTATTTTTATTACAACCGTTGTGTAGTAAATTGATCGAAGCTATCTATCCATCTATGTTCATGGCTTCTTATTTCTTTAGATGGTCGATTTATGATGAGGTTGAAGCTCCCGAACGGGGTTACGACGAGTGCCCAAACTCGGTATTTGGCGAGTGTCATTCGGAAATACGGCCCCGACGGATGCGCCGATGTCACAACTCGTCAAAATTGGCAAATCCGGGGCGTCGTATTGCCCGATGTGCCCGACATTCTAAAAGGGCTCGATAAAGTCGGGTTGACGAGCTTGCAAAGTGGAATGGACAATGTGAGGAATCCCGTCGGGAACCCTCTCGCCGGAATCGATCCCCATGAAATCGTCGATACGAGGCCCTATACGAATTTGCTTTCGCACTACATTACCGGAAATTCTCTCGGCAATCCCGCCATTACTAACTTGTAAGTTTCAATTAAGCGAATTATCAGTTTTATCGTAATTTAACTGTGTTAGAAGACTATATAGCTTAAATGTTTAGTTGAAATGCTCATTTAATGAAATGGGCTCGATTTGCTTGTAAATTTTGGATCTGGGAGAATATAATGATTTAGGACGCGTATAATATATGTATTTTGTTATGAGGTTAGGATTGTTGACGGTACTTTTTCTGTAGGCCGAGGAAGTGGAACGTGTGTGTGATAGGGTCGCACGATCTCTACGAGCATCCACATATAAACGATCTTGCATACATGCCGGCGACGAAGAATGGACGGTTCGGATTCAATATTCTTGTTGGCGGATTCTTTAGTCCCAAAAGATGCGCCGAAGCGATTCCTTTGGATGCATGGGTTCCCGGCGACGACATCATTCCAATTTGCAAAGCGATACTTGAAACTTATCGGGATTTAGGGTCTCGAGGGAATAGACAAAAAACAAGAATGATGTGGTTGATCGACGAACTCGTGAGCAACGCCTATTTCTTTTATCTTTATAACTATTTCACCTAAAAGTTTAAGTTGATATCAGAAATTGTGACTATTTCACTTGAAAGTTTAAGCTAATTCTAGAAATTATGCTTATTTCATATAAAAATTTAAGTTGATATAAGAAATTATGATTATTTCACCTAAAAGTTCAAGTTAATACTAGATTAAGCTGATACCAGAAATTACGTTGTTGATGTTTCTGATACAGGGCATCGAAGGATTTAGAGAAGAAGTCGTAAAAAGAATGCCTCGACAAGATTTGGAGAGATCGTCTTCGGAAGACCTAATCCGGACCCAATGGGAGCGTCGACAGTACTTCGGAGTTCATCCTCAAAAACAAGAAGGCTATAGCTTCGTCGGGATCCACATTCCCGTCGGGCGACTCCAAGCGGATGAAATGGACGAGCTTGCCCGTTTGGCGGACACTTACGGCTCGGGAGAGCTCCGTCTTACCGTCGAACAAAACATCATCATCCCGAATGTCGAAAACACAAAATTGAATACACTACTCGACGAACCCCTCCTCAACGATCGATTCTCGCCCCGACCGCCGCTCCTCATGCAAGGGTTGGTCGCGTGCACGGGCAACCAATTTTGCGGGCAAGCGATAATCGAGACGAAAGCGCGCGCCCTTAGAGTGACGGAGGAAGTTCAAAGGCTCGTCTCGCTTACGACCCCCGTGAGGATGCATTGGACGGGTTGCCCGAACACGTGCGGGCAGGTGCAAGTCGCGGATATCGGGTTCATGGGATGCATGACTCGGAACGCGGACGGGAAGGTCGTCGAAGGCGCGGACGTGTTCGTCGGAGGTAGAGTCGGAAACGAGAGTCACTTGGGAGAGGTTTATAAGAAGGGCGTGCCTTGTGATGACTTAGTCCCTTTGGTTGTCGATATGTTGGTTAACAAATTTGGCGCTGTGCTGAAGGAGGGCATCGACGTCGCTCAAGAAGAAAATCGAGATTTATTAAATTAAATTTATGGGTTTTTTCTTTAATGTTTTTATTGTCTTCAAATTATATGTTTTTAAATAAAAATATATTGGATAGGTAAGAATAGTTGTATGGCTTTTAAAATAAGAAATTTAAGATATGTTTTGGTCCGAAAATTGAAAGAAGAAAATTAGAAAAAATTTCATTTTTTTTTTTCTTCTTTTTGAGTGAGAAATCAAATTTGACAAATTAATTATTTTTATTTTTATGTTTTTATTTATATATATAGAGTGATAAATGAATATGATGATGTATATTTATATTTTTCCATTTTTTTGTATTATGTAATTTTTATAATTATATTATTTCAATTTTATAAAATATCGTATCTAAACTAATTATGGTTTGGATTGTCCCTTTATATATACTCATTTTTTTTTTAATTAAAAATTTATTTTAAAAAAATAATCCTAATTTTGATTTTATTTAAAGATTCATTATTTATTTGTTTATTATGTAAAAATCATATAAATAATTGGTTCTATTTACTTAATATTTTTTAAATGAAATAATTTTTTAGTATATGATAGAGAGAATTGAATTAAAAATATAAAATAATATTATTTTAAATTGAATATAATAATTATTTGAATTTTTAAATAATAAGCATTTAGTTTTTTTTCTGACTTTTCTATTTTTTATAAAATATTTTATAGATTACTGAATTGTTTTTGGAAATTGTAATTCAAAAATAATATTAAAAAAAATAGAGCGTATATTTAATTAAATTATTACATATAAAAATAATTAAAAAAATAAATTTAATAAATTATTAAATTAAAATTTTAAATATAAAATTAAAAAATATTAAAAAATATTGACCAATTAAATAATAAAATAGTAGTTTAAATTAAATATAATTATATAGTAATAAAAAATTACAAAATTAAAAATATAAATATATAACATAATATTATATAATTATTTTTTTATATCATTAATAATTATTTATTTTATTTAATATTTATATTATTTTTATTTTTATAAAAAAATTTATTATAAATATAATAATAATATTATTATTATTATTATATGCTTTTCCTTGTGCGCATTTTCTGGTTGCGAGCAGACTCCATAGTTCATCATAGCATTGCCGGCGCCCTGCAGATGATGAGCGGCGGCGCTGCTTCAAGGAAACTCATCGCCTCCACACCAAAAAGGTTGCGCTTTCGGACGTACATTTCTTTCTTACGGTTTGAAGAACAACAAATCCCTCACACAACCGCCACTGCTGCAAATTTGAATTTAAATCGAAGCAATTTCTCCTTGGCATTGCAAAGCAGAGGCGAATCATCTCTGTATGTTGGCTTCAGTTCATCTTACGATTGGAATGTACGGATGCGTGAATTGGGCCTCCAAGGCAACCTCCTTGCTGCTCGTAAGCTGTTCGACGAAATGCCTGAACGGGACAAGGTGTCGTATGCTTCAATGGTTAGTATCTATCTAAAGCACCGCGAGTTCCAAAGGGCTGAGAAGCTTTTCGAGAGAATTCCAGCCAGCATGAGGAGCGTTGTGGTGGATTCGGCCATGGTGCACGCTTATGCTGACGCGGGAAGAATGGATAAAGCTAAGCAGTTGTTCGATGAAATGCCTGAGAGGAATGCTTTTTCTTGGACAAGTTTAATTTCAGGGTATTTTAAAAACGGTCAAGTGGATAATGCTCTTGAGCTATTTGGGAGAATGCCGGAAAGAGAAAGGAATGAGGTCACCTGGACTAATGTGATTGTGGGTTTAGGAAGAAATGGATTTGTCGGCGAAGCTCGGGCTGCTTTCGATCGGATGCCTGTAAAGAATGTTGTTTCTTGTACCTCAATGATCAAGGTTTATATCGAAGATGGCCAGATCGACGAGGCGTTTAAAGTATTCCATACAATGCCCAATCTTAATTTGTACTCTTGGAATATTATGATTTATGGGCTTTTGAACGACAGCCGAGTTTTTGAAGCCAAGAATCTGTTTGATTCCATGCCTCGGAGAAATGTGGTTTCTTGGACTACCATGATAACAGGTTTTGCACAAAATGGGATGATTGAGTTTTCGAGGAGATACTTTGATGAAATGCCGAGCAGGGATATTTCAGCGTGGAATGCAATGATCACAGCTTATACTGATGAAGGTCTTATGAGTGAAGCGAGTGCACTATTTAAGTCGATGCCGAGTAGAAATATTGTGACTTGGAATGCAATGCTGAATGGGTATGCCAAAGAGCAGCAGGAGGATGAAGTCTTTAGACACTTTAAATTGATGCTTAGCAGTAGCGGTGTAAGACCTAATGAGATTAGTTTTACATGTTTACTGACTTCGTGTCATGGCATTCTTGAGGTTTCACAAGCTCATGGACTCGTCGTCCATCTCGGATTTGAAGCAGAAACCTCACTTGCTAATACTTTGATTACTATGTACTATCGAAGTGGAGATGTCGCCTCAGCCTGGATTATTTTTGGCAATCTTGAGTCGAAGGATGTTGTCTCTTGGACCGCAATGATCTTAGCGTATTCTAACCATGGTTTTGGTATGCAAGCATTGCAGACATTTGCTCGGATGGTAAGATCAGGATGCATTCCCGATGAGATTACTTTTATTGGAGTTTTGTCGGCATGTAGTCATACCGGCCTTGTCAAGAAAGGCCAAATGCTTTTCGATTCTATGAGGACGTATGGTTTAGATCATTCCCCAGAGCACTACTCATGCCTTGTTGACATCCTCGGACGAGCTGGGCTGGTGAATGAGGCTCTGAAAGTTGTACGTAAGATGCCTCCTGACAAACACGATTCTGTAGTGCTGGGGACATTGATCGGGGCTTGCAAGTTGCATGGAGAAGATGGGCTAGCTAATCTAATAGGCGATAAGCTGATAGATCTTGAACCAGGTAGCTCGGGAGGGTACGTGATGTTAGCAAACGTGTTTGCTGCATCAGGGAATTGGGAGAAATTTTCGGATTTGAGGAGGAAGATGAAAGAAAGGGATGTTAAAAAGACCCCTGGTTTTAGTGAAATTCAAGTTTATGGGAAAAGATATGCATTTTTGGCACGAGACAAATCTCATCCCGAATCGAAGGAGATTTATTCGTTGCTGAATGAGAAACTCCTCCCCCAAATGCAAGATTCTGTCGACATTATTAAAGATCTACCAATTACATGACTGAGGGCGTGTATATAATTAATTTACACTGGTTTTTCTTATGATGAAAGCGGTCAGCTCCCAAATCGACAATTGAATCTGGGCAATTATATGAAGCTGTCGATTTACAGGTTAGTTTACTGTTTAATGCATTTGCTCCATGTTACTTTATAATTTTGTTAAACATGCATGAGAACCTTCGAGATCTTTAGTTCCGGATCTGATCCTTTTATCATTTTACAACTTTAAATGATCCTGCCTAAAATAATCTAATAAGTAAAATTTTTTCGCTAAAATGATCCTCCGATACCGGACTCGCCACGCTGGCACGTGGTTGCTAACGTAATGCTGACTTGGCTGACATGTCATCGCTACGTCAGTGACAAGTCAGAGGAACATTTTAACAAAAAAATTTTACTTGTGGGATTATATTCAAAAGGGTCCATTTAAAGTTCTAAACTGAGACCAAGTACGGGTCTAAGAAAATAATTCACCAGACATTTTGTAAAATTAAAAAATTAAACAATTTTCCATGTGTTGTTGACATGGCAATGACATGTCGGTCACATCATGCCACGTCAGCAACAGCGGACTAGCGTAGTGAGTCCAGCACTGGAGGACTATTTTAGCGAAAATTTTTTACTTACGGGACTATTTTCAAACAAAGTCATTTAAATTCCTAAAATGATAAAATGAATCAGATACGGAACTATAAAAAAACAGTTTACCCAATTTTCATTGTGCATTCTTTAGGTTACATGGTTTGGTTCTAGATGTAGAAACTGAAAGCACTTCAAAGCGATACCCCACAAAATTGACTTTGGTAGCAGCTACTAAAGATGCATCAAAACTTTAAATTGCCAGCAGTAAAGATGGATTCCCGAGTAATGGCTGTACGTATATAAACTAAAACTCTTCAAGTAAATATTATTTTTACACAAGCTTATCCATTTTTCTCCATCGGTATGTTGTGTTCATGGCGTCGCATTTATTTTATTTTTATAGGTAGTAATTGTTGGGACTGTGGTATTATTGTATCAAGATGGACAATGTAGCCTCACGTCGCCGTTCACTTTTCCTCCTCATGTCATTCCTATGTATGATAGAAGGTATTTGATATACACTTATCTTACTTATGGATGATGTTTCTTTGAAATGATTTTGATTTAAAATTTTTGCTCTGCTTTTCCCTTTTGGTGATAGAGAACAAGATCAAAACAAGATTTTTGTTGTGAGTGAGACATTTCGTATTGGTCCTCCGATGATAGACTTCATCTTTTCATACGGGTAAGAACTATAGCTCTGTTCTTTTTGGAATTTAGTTTTAGATATTATGATTCATGGAAAAATATACTATTTTTTTTTTTTTCTCGTAAAACATTACATCCAAATCATTATTCAGACAAAGCAATAATAAACGAAGGAAGGCAACAAATACAGTGGAAGAAATTTTGGGGAGAAGAAAGAAGAAAAAACGAAAGAAAAACAGAAGAAAGAAAGAGGGAGAATAAAAATAAAATAAAAATGGCCATGTTATTTTGAATGTCAATTTCAATAGTTTGGTCTTAGTTGTGAATTGAGTTTAATTACACTATTAACTAGAACCTCTTGGTATATATTATATTTTTCCTTAGAAAGCTTCGTTATATATAGTTGTAAGTTATTACCTTAATACTCCTTCCCTCCCGGAACTAAGTATCCATTTATTTTTTGCACGTAGTTTTAAAAATATTAGTATTATATTGGGATATAGTAGGAATAAAGTAGAAATGACTAAAATAACCTTATTCGTATGTGTGATATAAAGGTAATGACATTTGTGTAATATATTGTAAGTTGTAAGGGTATTTGTAATGTTAGGTAGATAAGAAATAGATACTTTGTTATGGGACAGACTAAAATGAAAAAATGGATACTTTGTTATGGGACAGACTAAAATGAAAAAATAAATATCTTTATTATGGGACGGAGGGAGTACGATATAAGTTATTTTTGATATAAATATGATCCTTTGCAATAATTCTTTAAAAATTCGTAATTGAATGACGTAATTTTTTAGCTATTAGACTCATCATAACTTTAAGTTCATCTAAGTAAATTTCGTATCAATATATGAATTTGATTAGCAATGGAAGATTTTTCGCAATATGTAATTACTTGTTCATAACTTTAAATACTTTATTTTAAACTTGAAATTATAATTGTACTTTTTTTTTTTCTTACGATCATAATATAATATTCTGCTATATAACTTTTCATAAACCAACGAGTTAATGAAAATTTTTACACTTAAACAAGACAACAATATATTCGAATCGATATTATAATTGTACATTTTTTTCTTAGGATCCTAATATAATATTCTGCGATATAAATTTTAATAAACCAATGAGTTAATGAAAATTTTTACACTTAAACAAGACAACAATATATTCAAATCAAGTCGCTTTCTTAAATACTAGTTTTACTTTTTGCAAGGCATTTAGATAGTATAATTTTGATAGTATTTTGACCACTTTGTTATTACTTTTTATTTTAAAAATGATATTAGAAATTTTATTTAGAATAGTAAAAAGGAAAATTTGTATGAATATAAAGAAAATATGCAAAAATCTTCGAGACATCCAAAATTAGTCATAATAGCAAAAGATTTGAGACGGATGGAATATGTAATTCTCATATAATGCTGCATGGCGTAACGTAAAAATATTTTTTTAATATACTTGTTTTAATTCGTTTCAAAATACTAAAGTTATCACTTTGTTATGGCTTTATCTTTATCTTTTTTTTTTTTTCTTTTCATTTGTTGCTACTATTACAAAAGAATCAAAAAAACAGTGTCAAATCAGTAAAAGTATACTGACTTTCAACCCTCCGAAGTTGGGGTTGTGTAACAAATGCATCCTATATAATGTAAAATAACTGCTATATGTGAATTTAATGTATCACAGACACTTCACAATAGTGGTAGTTAGTAGGACGACCAATTGTTTTGTATTGTAAGGTCGTTCATGAGTTATATTCGGGAATATTTAACATTTCTTATCTAGTCATTTATTTTTGTAGATTTAGGTTCACTGATTGGATTGATCACTAAATAGGTTTACCAATACTTTAGGATTATGCCATTTCTAAACGAGATCTCGATTGATCACTTGAGGAGTGTAGTATTTAGATTCCCTTTAGGTAATTAATTCTTAAGATGCACAAATTTAGATATCACGCACAAGATAGATATAGACTAGAGGTCTATATTTTCTACCATGAACTCTAGGGGTGTGTAGATATGTGTTGAATAGTGATACACATCGGCTATCTATATACATAAAGTACATAGTGCAAAAATGTTAAATTATCTTGCATATTTTTACTAACCGATAAAATACTATTATTTTTTTAATCTACCGTAAAAATTCAGAAGATTATTGTCCTCGTCTACTTGGTAAGATTTTTGTCATTTTTTCGTTGTCCAAACACAACATATCTATTTTATTTTTACATCAATATCATTACAATAACTACACATCATATCATATGATAAAATAGTTGTGCACATACAAAAATTATCATCAAATTAACATTAACAATTATCATCAAATTAACATTACATTAACTACACATCATATTTTCTCCAAATTCCACCTAAACTTCAGCAAAATCTAAACCCAAAATTTAAATTTTACGAACAAATAGCCACAATAATTATATATTAATTTTAAAGCAAAATATTGGATTCCATCAAAATAAGAGGCGTGCCGTACATAAGTTGCCATGCACTTTTTGGCCCACTTTCTTAAATCATATCTTGCATTTATTTTAGGATAAACTGTTTTTTTTAAGTCCCGTAATCGGACCCCTTATCATTTTAGTTCCGTAAGTAGAGCCTATCGCAAATTAGTCCCATAAGTGCAAAATTTTTGTTGTTTTAATGCTCCGACGCCGGAGATGTCCGTGTTGCTCGCCGGAGGTGACGTGTCCGCCAGGTGTCCAGCTAGGGCAGCGACACCTAGCGGATACGTGGATTTATTTTTATTTTTCATTTTTTTATAATTTTTTCAAATTTTTTTAAAATTAGACTGAATAAAAAAATAAAAAAAAATGCAAATAAAATTAAAAATAAATTAAAAATAAGTTTTTAAATAAATAAAATAAAAATCCACGTGTCCGCCAGGTGTCGCTGACCTGGCGGACACGTCACCTCTGGCGAGCCACGCGGGCGTCTCCGGCGCTGGAGGACTAAAACAACGAAAAATTTTTACTTATGGAACTAGTTTGCGACATGCTTCACTTACGGGACTAAAATGATAAAGGGGTCCAGTTACGGGACTAAAAAAATAATTTACCATTTATTTTATAATGATCGACTATATGTATATATATTTATTTTATAATGATCGACTATATGTATATATATATATATATATTTCAAATGTAGTACAAATCTATTAAATTACACTACATAATTATTGAAATATTTTGTAAATTTATTGCATCACCCTATAAAAAATATTGAAACATGATGTGAAACTTTTGAATTATATAAGCAAATAGTTGAATCATGAAATAAATTTATTGAATATTTATAAATTAAAGTAGATGCGTAATATGTCGAATTGTGTACAAAATATTTCGAACACAATATTTGATGATTTTATACCTTAATATAAAACTTGCTTAAATTCGACTTTTCATATGATTTCATAGGCATGGAAATGAACAAGGACTAAGAACAAAAAGGATCTATTGATCAATCACATTGAATTTCCGATAACTACGAACTTTTTTTTACAATAAAGTAGCTTATCAATAAGCTTTTAAAGAACAACAATAAATTTGTATTGTATTGTTCACAACAATAAGAGCATCCGATACCGACATTATATCTACTTCGTTATCTCTCTTCTCTCTCGTCCACATCATATCCAATTCAACATTTAAATTACTTTATTTATCATTGGTTATAGTAATCACATTCAACACATTACTTTTACTATTTTATAAGATCCACACTAATTTATTTATTTTTATATATTTTATTACATTATATATATAAATTATTTATTAATATATATTCTTATATATTTTTGTTGTCTAATAATATTTTTATATAATATTATAGTAAATTTTTAAATTTTAACCTATATAAATTTTAATATATTGAAACATATAATTTACTATTTTAAAATTTGAAATTATTTGAAATATTAGATAATCTCTATTATATTTTTGAATAATATTTAATTTTTTAAAAAAAAAAATTATTGAAGGTGACCGGTTCTTGTAATAAATAATAAATAATTGTATCTCTTCTAAAAGGTAATGAGACAGGTAACTAGTTAATATAGTAAAAACTAAAAAGGTAATTACAAAAGTAACAAGAGAGGTGATCGTAAAAGATGCTTTAATATGTGGATATGTCACGGTTCCTTTTTTTATTGTCTGCTAAACGTATGTATAATTTATACTTTGATAAATTATATAATATCCTTTCAGTAAAATTGAACAAAACACCATGTGATATTTATTGCGTGAAACCCTCTCGTATTAATATAAAATTTGCACGAAACATCCTCATTGTCCAAAACTGATGTTTGGTTCCAGATAAAAATCTAAATTATGCAAGTTTTATACAAATAAAAAAGGTAAAATATCTTAAATAATTTTTTGAATATAATAAATAAATAAATAATTGATTAATCCTTCAATTTATAATATTTTGAAGATAAATTGGTATATGATTTTTAAAAAAAACTATAAAAATAAATAAATAATCATTGATTATTTATTTTATTCAAAAAAATTATTTAAGATAGTTTACGTTTTTTATTTATATAAAACTTGCATAATTTAGGTCTTTATTTAGAACAAAACATTAGTTTTGGAAGAAAGAGGGTGTTTTATGCATACTTAACATTACCACAAGAAGGTTTCACGCAATAAATAAAATATAAGATGTTTTGTGCATTTTTACTAAAAAGTGTTATATAATTTACTCTTTATACTTTATCCGTCCGGAATAATTATGCCACATTTTTTTTTTTTGCTTTTCCACTAAACATCACATCGATACTTATTTATATCACAGCATACCACCATTTCAATTAAAATTTTTTACTATTCAAATCTTAATCCAAAATCCAAACACCCAAACAAACACACCCTAAATGTATACATAATCTATTATACTCCCTCCATTCCACCTGCTTTGTCCGCATTTCTATTTTCGTTTATCCCACTTATTCTGTCACTCTCTTTTTTTGAAAATAATTATACACTTTAATTTCCTTTTAAATTTTAAATTTATAATTTTTTAAAAATTTTAGTTAGATTAATTAGATATCATAATCTTAATCCAAATCTATAATTATTTTTATTATACGATAATTATTTTTATTAATACATTCTTAATTATTTATTAATTATACCCCTCATAAATTCTCGTGTCTATATTAAAACAGACACACTAGCCGGGACGTAGGGAGCAGTAAATAACTTTATCTTACTTACAATTTTATTATCTTTTCTTTTTGAAATAATAACAAATTTGCTACTACTTTATTATCAACTCTTCAATAAATTTTCTATAATACTTCAACTCTACCTATTAAATATCATACTTTTACATTAAAATATTATTATTTTTTAGTTTTTATGTCCGAATACTATAGCATA